TAAGGTAAATAAGAATGGAAATAACATTGGAAAAGGGAAAGAAAAAAGAACAGATTGGAAAGATGACAAAGGAAGAAAAAGTGATAAAATGGGGATGGCTGAAAAGTGGTGAGAACAAAGGAATGGAAGAGGAAAACGGGAGGGGAGGAGGAGGAGGAGGAGATGAAGATGGAAAAAAGAAAAAACAGATAAAAAAATTGAGGGGCATACAGATGACGAGAAAGAAAGCGAAAATCAATAAACAAGAAGAAGGGAGAAGAAAAAGAAAATACGAGGAAAAAAAAAACAAAGTGAATAAAAAAGAAGAAAAGCCAAAATAAGAGTGAAAAAAGACAAAAAAAAAAGAATAAAGGAGAGAGAAGGGAAAATCACAAACGGGAAAGGCCAAAAAAAAAAAAAAAAGGAGACAAAAAATTAGGGAAAAAAAACAAGAGAAAGCGAAGCGCAGTGACCCAGGTGACCCCAGGCAACCGACCCCCCCCCCCCACCGGACTGCAGACCCTGGCGATTTCTGCATTTCCGGGGCAATTTCCATTAAATATTTCTCGAGATGATGATTTTTTTTTTCGTTTTATTTCTCTTTATTCTTTTTCAGGATAAGGATTTCTTCATGAAATCGATTTTCTTTATTTTTTCCATCTTATTTTATTTTATTTTATTTATTTTTTATTTATTTATTATTATTTTTTAAATCCTTAGACATTTTCCACTGTGATGGTTATTATTTATTAATAAAAAATAAAAAGAATAAATAAATAAAAAAATAAAAATCCACCAGGAATGGCTATTATAAAGGACTTCTAAAATAGTAAAACTGGCACAACATCCAACACTGGATACCATACACACATCACTATCCCTGATCAACTACTAGCATCATCCTTATATCCAGGTATCGTGACTATCCAGGAAGATAAATCACAATCAATTTTTTTTCACAATCAGTTCTCAATTACTAGCACCCCCCCCCCCCCCACCCCCCACCCACCCCGCCTCCCGCCCACCCCCGCCCAACCGCCACCCCCCCCCCCTCTCCTCGCCAAGGATAAACTACGGTCTTAGAAGGAGAGTCGAAGAGCCAGCCAGCCAAGAAGCCAAGCCAAGCAAAGCCAAAGCCAAAGCCAAGCCAAAGCCAAAGCCACCTCGCCGACGCTGCGCCTTTAATACTTATCAATAAATTAGAAGATGGAGAACAACCCCCTCCTCCTCCCCCCTCCCCCCCAACTCCAGGCCTGGAAACATCAGCCGCGGCGGAAATGCGGCTCCATTTGGGCTTTTGGGGCTTTTTGGGCTTTTGGGCGGGTGGGCTTTAGGGTTTTGAGGGACGGTTTAGGGCTTTAGGGCGAGTGGGTTTTAGGGATTTAGGGGTTTAGGGGTTTGGGCTTTTGGGCAGGTGGGCTTTAGGGATTTGAGGAACGTTTTTGGGCTTTTGGGCGAGTGGGCTTTCAGGCGGGTGATCTTTAGGGATTTTAGGTACGCTTTAGGGTTTTAGGGCCTTTTTTTTTGGGCTTTTGGGTGGGTGGGCTTTAAGTGCTTTTAGGTATGCTTTAGGGCTTGTGGTCGGGCGGGCCTTTGGTCGGGTTTTAGGGCCTTCACATTCGGCTTTAGGGCTTTTAAGCAGGCGAATCTTAGGACTTTTTTCGGGCTTTAGGGCTTCAGGTGAGCTTTTCGGCGGGCGGGGGGTTAGTTCCATCGTCTTTAAGCCTTTATGCAGGTATAGTAAACGCATGTTTGTATGAAGTATATGAATACACATGTAAATACGAACACATTAACCCCCACACCTACACGTCTACACACACACACACACACGCGCGCGCACGCGCACACACACACACACACACACACACACACACACACACACACACACACACACACACACCACACGCACACACACACACACACACACACACACACACACACACGCACAAACACACACACGCACGCACACACAGTCACTCATATACAACTACATCAAAATAATATATGCATACACGCATGCATATACATCAGTATAGAATAAACTTAAACAAAAACACACACACGATCATCTTCTCCTAAAGCCCCCCGATAGGGAAGGAAGGGAGAAAGAAGGAAAGGAGCGAAGGAAGGAAGGGAAGGAAGAAAGGAAGGATGGAAGGAAGAAGGAAGAAAGGAAAGCAAGAAAGAAGGAAGAAGAAGGAAGGAAGGAAGGAGGGAGGAAGGAGGAAAGAGGAAGGAAGGAAGGAAAAGGAAGGAGGAGAGGAAGGAAGAAAGAAGGAGGAAAGAAGGAAAGAAGGAAGAAAGAAGGAAAGAAGGAGGGAAAAAAAGGAGGAAAGAAGGAAGAGGAGGGAAAGAGGAAGGAAAGGAGGAGGAAGAAGGAAGAAGGAAGAAGGAAGAGGAAAGAAAGGAGGAGGGAAAGACGCACATCACAACATGTTCCAACGGGTTATCATACTCGCATGCAAATAGTATGCAAAATGCTGCAGTGCCCCTCCTCTGTTCCTCCCCCCTCCCCCTCCCCCCTCCCCGCCATTCCCCCATCGCTCGTCTCTCTCTTCTCTCCTTCCTTTCTTCCTTCTCCTTCCCTCCTCCCTTCCCTCCCCTCCTTCTCCTTTTCCTCTTTCCCTCCCTCCTGCCTTCCACTCTCCCCTCTCCTTTCCCTTCCTCTCCCTCTTATTTTCCCCTCCCTTCTCCCTCCCATCACCCCTACACCCTCCCTTCCTTTCCCCCCCTTCCCCCTCCTCTCCTCTTCCCCTCTCTCCTCCCCTTCTCCCTCCATCATCCCCTACACCCTCCCTTCCCTTCTTCCCTCCTCTCCCTCTCACTTCAACCTCCTCTCCTCTCCCCTCCCCTTCTCCCTTCCATCATCCCCTACACCCTCCCTTCCCTTTCTCTCTCCCCTCTCCCTCTCACTTCAACCTCCTCTCCCCTTCTCCCCCCCCATCACCCCCCCTCCCCTTCTCCCTTCCATCACCCCTTCCCCCTCCCTCACCTCCCCCCCCCCCCCACTGGCACGCCGCCAAATATGTAAAAAAACTCAGCGTATTTCCTTAGCACGTTGAGCTGCCTCTGTATTACTATAATGCATTAGTTGTTTGTGGTGACGTATTATTTTCTCTTTCTATTGGCACATCTTTGCGTTTGCTTATTCTAGACTTTTTTTTTTTTCCTTTTTTTTCGACGCCGCAAATGCATTTATTCCGCTTCGAATAGCTAGCTCTTCCCAAGTCTTTCTCTTATCCTTTCTTTCTCTATTCTCTTTCTTTCTTACTCTTTCCTCTTTCTTTCTCTTACTCTCTCTCTCTCTCCTTCCTTTACCCTCCCTCTCCTACCACTCTTACCCTTCCCCTCCTTCCCTCTCTCTTCCTCCCTCTCTCTCCCTCTCCCACTCCCTCCCTCTCTCTCTCTCCCACTCCCTCCCTCCCTCTCTCTCTCCTTCTCCACTTCATCCCTCTCTCTTTCTCTCTCTCTCTCTCTCACTCTCCTACCCCCCCCTCCTTACCTCTCTCCTCCACCCTCTCTCCCACTCTCCTCCCTCCCTCCACCCTCATCCCCCCTCCCTATTTCTCCCACTCCATCCCCCTCCCTCCCTCCCCCCTCCTCTCTCCATCCAACCCTCTCTCCCCTCCCTCCCTCCCTCCCTCCTCCATCCACCCACCCCTCCCTCCCTCCATCCCACCCCCCTACCTCCCTCCCTCCATTCCATCCCCCCTCCCTCCCTCCACCCCCCTCCCTCCCCCTCCTCCATCCATCACTCCATCCCCCCACCCCTCCCTCCCTCCTCTCCCTCCCTCTCTCTCTCCCTCCCTCCCCCTTCCCTCTCCCTCCCTCTCTCTCTCCCTCCCTCCCTCTCTCCCTCTCACCACTGCGCTACACATCCGCAATGCATCGCGTGCAAAAAAAAAAAAAAAAGGTGGAGCAAACACGCGTCCCATGTCACAAGGCTCCCCCGGGTGAGAGGAGAGGAGAAGGAAGAGAGAGGAGGAGAGGAAGAGAGGAGGGAAGAAGAGAGAGAGAGGAGAGGAGAGGAGAGGGAGAGGGAAGGGGAGAGAAAAGAGGAGGAGTCTGACGGGGAAAGGAGAGAGAGAGGAAGGAGAGGAGAGGAGGAGAGGAAGAGATAGGAAGGGGGAGAGATAGAGGAGAGAGGGGAGAGGAAAGGAAGAGAGGAAAGGAGAGGAGAGAAGAGAAGAGGAGGAGAGAAAAAGAAAGGGGGTTTGGGACATCTCGGGAGAGGGAGAGAGGAAGAGGAGAGAGAGGAGAGAGAGAGTAGAGGCAAGAGGGGAGGGAAGGAGAGGAGAGAGAGGAGGGAGAAAAGGAGAGAGAGAGGAGAGGAGAGGGAGGAAGAAGGAGCTGCGAAAGAGAGACGGAGAGGAGACAAGGAGAGAGAGGAGAGGAGAGGAGAGGAGAGACGAGAAGAGGAAGGAGGGAGAGGAGAGGAGAGGAAGGAAGAGAGGAAGAGGAGTGGAGAGAAGAAGAGGAGAAGGCAAGAGAAGAGAAGAGAAGAGAGAGGAGAGAAGAGAGAGAAGGAGAAAGAGAAGAGAAAGAAGAAGAGAAAGAGAGAAGAGAATGCGCCGCGCTTTTTTGTAAGTTCAATTTGCGGAAAAAAGCGGATATATTAAATGGTTGTAGGTTGTATGAAAGTATGTGTGTGCTGTATTTTAAGACATGAAAGTGTGGAATGGGGGAGGGAGGGGAGGGAGGGGAGAGAAAGGGAGAGAGGGAGGGGAGGGAGGGAGGGGAAGGAGGAGGGAGGGAGAGGAGGGAGAGAGGGAGGGAGAGAGGGAGAGAGAAGAGAGAGAGAGAAGAAGAGAGAGAGAGAAGAGAGAGAAAAAGGAGAAAGAGAAGGAGAGAGAAGAAAGAGAGAGAGAGAGAGAGAAGAGGAGAAGGGAGAGGGGAGGAAGAGAGAGGGAAAATAAAAAAAAAAGGGCCAAAAAAAAA